TAGCAAAGAATAACTGGTTTGTGTATATTCTTGTTCTGACCATTGAGTTAGCAGAGCTAACGCTAACAAAATGATCAATCCCAAGGTACACAAAAAATAAAATGCTCAACAGACTTGGAAGTATGACAGATTGTTGTGAAGAAGTCAGGGCAGCAGAGGCCTGACTAAATAGGTCAGGTCTTACTGGGTATTCAAAGAATGTTTTATGTTCACAAAAATCTATTTAGTAGACACAAGACAACATTCATGACCGATCTTGTTATCTTTCAGTGTACAACTCTTCAAGCTTAGTTGACTGAACCTGGCATTGTGCAATTCCAGCACTGACTGAGGAAAACTCTTGCCTCTTTGGTCCATGTACAGTGAAAATGGCAGCAATTTCTTGCATTGATTTAGGCAATATCAAGGCAGTGCCATTGGCAATGGAGAATCAATTGCCAGAGTAACTCCTGGGCAAGAAAGAGGGCCCCTGATGTCCCCAAATTCTCATTAATTTCATCCAGTTCTTGAATCCACACTAAAGAAGAAATAATTAGTACAGTACAAATCAGTCTGTTAATACAGCTGGTCAGAGTCTGCTATGAAACAACATATTGGAAACAACTCCTCCTGACTAGTTAGTTCTCTGTAATTACACAGTGGATTTTTCTGTTAGGAAAAAAACCACATCAAAGAACAACAAGCTCCTCCCCTTAATAACATGAAAAGTGGACCAAGAAGATATGAAAAACTGGAACTGAAGGATGGAAATTACATATGACTCTTAGACTTAATGCCCACATTTGACTTAAGAGGTGTTCTAAAAAAATTTCCCTTCATTCGCTCATTCACTGTAAATGATGGATGCTGAAGGAGGCAGTAAGCCATGGGGAGACAAAGGACAAAGTTCTGTTTTGTCTCGCACATTGTAAAGCTGGACTCTATTTCTGGCTCTCATATGGACTCCCTGTACCAAGTTTGGGTAAAACTATCAACGTGTATATAGAAAGAGGTCAAACTAAGGCAACTTCGTATTTCTTACTCTCTCATGCCTTAAATTTAATACTGCTCTTCCTAGTATTCCAAAAAGGGAAAATGATTCTAAAATCTTCATGTTGGAAAAAAATGCTTTTCTTCCTTGATTGCAAATCTGATTACAGACAGTAGTTAAGCAAATGAGCAGCTTGAAGAAAATCCAGTGCAAACCTGATCCCCAAATGAGGAAGTTTATATTCTTTACTCCCCATTTTTAACCTATTATTTTAGGGAGACTTTCCTTGAATCCTTTACTTTAAACTAAAGCTATTTTTAATTCCACTCTTCTCTACGTTGCTGGTTCCCCATTTGCATGTTTCTGTTGCTACACTTCTTTCTCAACCATTTAACAGTAGATGAAGCCTGTAAACAAAGGATCAACACCTTCCATAACTCACTTCTACTTTATCTAAAAATTAGCATGTCTAATTGACAGGAATAGTAAACTTGAATATTTTCGTACACTGCAGAATGGTTGAGGGAGACCACGAGGGCTAGAAAAGCAAAAATACATGGGAAGGCTGGAAGAGAGACTTTCCTGTAACTGAAGTAACATTTTCAATTCCTTGTGATCCCCAAGACTGCATTAAGTGGCTTTACAGTATAGTGTTTGCTTTGGTATCTACCCATGCTGACACACTCTGCTCTCACCTCATCTTTGCAGACTTTGTAAACGTAGGAGTCTTTCCTGTCAGAGTGATGGAAGAAGTGCAAGACACGCCAGACTCTTGGTGCAGCTCCTTCCTCTGGCTGGGCTAATTGACGGAGCAGTAATTGACTGAGCAGTTCTGCAAAGGCAGACATGAAGTCTAGCAAACTGTCTCTTCTGCCTTATGTCGCCTGAGCAGAGGCACCGGGATCTCAAGTCACTTTCTCTACCCCATACCCACTGCAACTAAAATAAGCCTGGGCATGACATGTTAATCTCTGCATTTCTGAGAAGGGCCTGGTTACACCACCATTCACCGAGTGAGTGGTACTATTAGTTCTTCAGTCTGCAGCTGCCCCAGTTACACAATGGACATCAGTCACACTACATTCCTTATCAATGTGTACTGGCATGTTTTCCAGCAATCTTGCTCCAAAATGGCCGTTTTTCCAAGCCCTTGACAGTGATACTTCATACTGAATTCCTTCTTTCATGCAAATGCTACAACGCTGCAGCATTTTCACACTTGTGGCAATGTCTCTCTGTGAAGTTCAAAACATGTCTCAAACTGGCTTTACAAATGTGACATGCCACCTCAGCTGCTGTAAACCTCAGCAGACATGCTGGGCCACTGTTAAAGCATGTCATGGGATGCTAGAGATCACACAATACTGCAGTCCTTCCCAGCTTTTTATGTTAAGACTAATTTCCTGCTCAGTCATTTCCTTTTTACACCTATGCTATGAAACATATGTCTACTGTGAAGACAGGCTAAGCGAGTTAGGGTTGTTCAGCCTGGAGAAGAGAAGGCTCTGGGAAGACCTTACAGCATCCTTCCAGTACATAAAGAGGGCCTTCAAGACAGTTGGAGAGGGACTTTCCACAAAGGTGAACAGCAATAGGACAAGGGGTAATGGCTTTAAACGGAGAGTAGGTTATGCTAGATACTACAAAGAAATTATTTACCTAAGGGTAGTCAGACAAGGGAACAGGTTGCCCAGGGAAGCTGTGGATGCCCCATCCCTGAAGTATTCAAGGTCAGGTTGAATGGCACTTTGAGCAACCTGGTCTAGTGCAAGGTGTCCCTGTCCATGGCAGGAGGGTTTGAACTAAAAGATCTTTAAGGTCTGTTCCAACCCAAACCATTCTATAATTCTGTGAAACGGTTAACCAAGATGAAAGACTGCTACCATTTTACATTAATGATTTCTACTGATTTATACTTGAATGGCCTATAAAATGGAGAATATTTCTGATATTACATTTGTAGAGATGGAAAAACCACATATATGAATGAGTGCAATCCATTCGTGATTTTATGGGCCCAAAGTTCTCTAGAGAGCACCCGAGTGCTGAATTTTACATTTACATTGCTGAGTTAGCTGAAATATGTGTAATATCACCAGTAGGCATAGAGCTCCCTATTGACTATGGGCAGAGGAAGGCCCTTGTGCATTCTTTATTTCAGCAAGGATGTGAGCTGGCGTGTGCCCATGAAATGAAATGCTGTACAGATATATTTGTGGTGCTGTTTTTGTTTTTTTTTTACAGGGTATGTGAATAAATGATGTGTGGAGCTGAAAGCTCTCACTCACTGGAAAGCTTGGCTCTTTTTCTCAAATACAGGAGTAGAGGCGCATTAGACACGCTTATATTTCTTAATGTGCCTATGGGAGAAATAATCCAGTACAGCTACCTTCCTGTGCCCCTCAGATTCATAAGTAATCTGGCTCTTTGGGGCTAGCAAAGTCGAGAGTTCAGTATAGAATCAGGTCTCTAGCATTTTACTCTATGTATGTATGGCTGTTTTTCCTGGCTCTTGACAGTGATACTTCATACTGAATTCCTTCTTTCATATTTATGTATTTATTTAGTAGCAGATGTTTACTTCTGATGACTTATGAGGCAATATTACAGAGACTGAGCACAATCAATGTGTTTTAAGTGAGAATATTTCAACTCCACTTAAAAAGAGATCTAGTGTCAAGGCTTAACTCTGAACCACACCTTTAAACTCCCATGCACACTCACATGAAATAACCACAAATCCATTGACTGAAGGGAGCAGAACAGCAGTGCAAGCTCTATATTTGCACACAGGCTTTGCTCTTTGGGGGTGGCAGCTGAGATGGAAAGGGTGCTCAGGTGGCTCTGCTTGCTGAAGCAGAAAGAAATTTCTCCAGCTATTCAGCAACCCAGTTTGCATTGTTCACAGGAGTTTCAATCCAGTAAGAACTACTACAAAGGTTTTATAAAGCTTATGCTGTGTCTTGTATTGAAATGCAGCAAGCCTCTTTCAAGAAAGGCAATGAAGACTTAAAGATCTTAAACCCTTCTAGGCTTTATTATTAAATTACACTGATTTTAAAAAGAGGGAGGGAAAGACAGATGGTCACTCCTCTTCCTATTTTCATTCCTTTACTCCTTAGAGACTCTGAACCTGTGTGCAACCAACAACAAACCCCAGACCCCTACTTCCATAACTGTGGTAACTTTAAATCCTCTTTAACAAATCAGTTAAAAGAGACAAATCAGTCTCAGAGATAAAGAAACCTGTAATCTGGACAAAGCTGCAGAAGTTGTTACAAGTGCTAAATGATCCTGTTCTGTGCCCTTATTAAAGTCAACAACATTTTCTCAGACAAGCACTGACACCATTAACTGCTTAAAACTCAAATTATATAATATTTATAGTGAACATTTATGAAAATCAATAATTAAAGAGATGAAGAAATAAAGGAAATCTAAAATAAAAATTGGGGAATGGAATTTAACAAATAAATAGAGAAAAGTGACAATAATTAAAAATAAGCAACTCACAAGAGAGGAAGAAGACTACATCTTCACTGCATGTTGTCCTATTGGACAATTATTTTCCCTATCTTGCCATCAAACACCTGTATTAGACTTCTGCTCTAGCTGTATACATAAATGTACATGTATTCAATGACGAAATAAATGACAGTTAGCACTCCTAAACATTCTATTAGCAGTATGTAAAGCAAAGCGAGAGGAAAAGAGTTCCATAGATAGGCTGCAATTTATGTTCACATCATGGAATTTTACAGCCTATATTTTACACATACTTACAAGAACTTGACACCACATAGCTTAACTGTAATTTCAATACTTCTTTGAAGTTAATTCACCAACCACCATGCTACAGAATGCTTGCAAAATAGTCAAGTTTTCTATTTCCTCTAAACAATTTGAACTTTTCACTAAATCGTTACTATTGCCGAAGACTTTGCTAGTTAGAGGTTAGTATGTCACAGACCATATACAGTCCATCAGACACCACCGTTCACAGTGACAATTACAAAAAAATGGGACTTACCTATAAAGTAGGACAGCAGTATTGCCAGCAGCACTGAGACCCCTACAGCACAGAGTGCAGTACATTTCCAGCTACAGTACTTCGAAGACTTCTTGAATTTAAAAGCACTTCTGGACAGAGTGTTCCTAGGTAGTGGCCGAGTAGGAGGGGAATAAACAGAGCCGGATGCCATTGTGTACCCTGGTGTTGCAGTACTGAACAGTGGTGTGGTCCCTGTTCCTGTTTTGAATAGGAAATGCCTGTGAAAGAAAGAGAACACGATAAAGCACAGCAGTAAATAAAGCTGGAGCACAGGAAATCATACCTCTCTTGTTTAATGTCATCTATTTTTCAAATAGCTAACAGCATCCAATCTACAAAGGGTCATAGAAGCAATAACTTATCATGACACTCACACATAAAAAGACACTTTCCCTTTTAGTAAAGACTAAAGCCCTCCATACATTAGTAATACACTGGTATCCAAACAGGAAACAGAACTACCCAAAATACAGTATAATAAAGAGGAGTCCTCTCAAAGTTTATCCAAGAAGTAGGGGCAGGCTTTCTGCTGTTTATTTATGTTGGCTTCTGCTACAGACGACAGGGAACTCCATTAAAAAGTCAATAATTAGCAATGTGACTGTAGCCCACACTACTTATCACAGCTTTCCTGGGTTAAGTACAAGGAAAACAGCAATCTCTCAGTTACAAACTTTTGGCAACTTTGCAAAAAATAGTTCAAAGATTATTATTGTTTTGTGTCCTGAATACTCAGTTCACTAATTCACATCTACTCGCACATAATATTACCATCTGATTATGGATACAGCAGCTTGTTACAGCCTAGGAGAAGTACTCTAAAGAAATATACTTAGTAGGCACTCAAAAAGAACCACAATCAGTAACAGACATGAAAAGCAAAGCCAAAGTTAAGACACATTGTGAGTTCCCAGTAAACCTTTTTTTCCCCAACCAAAATTTCTAAAGGAAATATCTCTCCTGAACCTCTCCTACAGTAGAATCCTCTAATTTTAGTTCATGCAAGCATAATTATTTTGAAAGAGCCTCTAAGCATGGCATACACTACCTGGAGTTTTTCTCCTGATGCATGTACACAACTCTATGAACAAGAAAACCTCAGTCAAAGAAAGATCTTTGCACTAGGGGTTTTTCCATGAATTTGTTACATTGGCAAGTCTGTAGCACACACCTTGGCACTACCTAACTAAACTTTGCAAAATGAATACTTTATAGCTAAAAATGACAAGAAAACACACTGTGGAGACTGTGGAGACTGTGGAGACTGTGTACCAATTGCACAGCTAAACAGAACTAGAGAGGTGTTTGCATTTTTTAATGTGTAAGAGACACTCACAAATACCCAGGTCCTCCTGAAGCCAAGTGCATCCCTACACTGTGTTTGCCTACTGCATGTCACCCATACAGCATGGGTCAGAGGTTCCAGTGCCAAATGAGCTAGCTGTGGAGGGGAAAGCCTTACTAGTTACACCATGTGGCACTGCAGACTGCTTCTCAGCTGATGGAACTTTCATTCTCTGGGACCCATGCTTGGATCCACGCATAGCAATGGACCAACTTATGCAGCTCAGTCAGAAATACACTGTAGAGACACTAGAAATTAATTTGCCCCACTGCAGCCTGAGAAAAAACCCAGCAGTTGATAAGCAACATTTGTTGTTTGCAGGTCACTGTGCTATGGGAGACCAGCAGATGAACCAGATTATCTTGGCATCGGCCCTCTCCTTGAAAATATCTGCATTACAAACATGATCCCATGAAATATGCTACATAGGTTACTTCATTCTGAACAGTATTAAACCTGCTGGCAGTAGCAACAGAAGGCTATGAACTAGATCTGCTGATGCACAATGGCACATCCCAAATATTTTTCACTTCTGAGATCAAAGGATTATCAACATTTTCACAAGACAAAGCCCTGGTGGTTTAAATCCTGTCTAAAAAGTTGCTTCATTAAAAGTTGTGACATTTCCTATGTAGCAAATACCAAAATAATAACAACTATCCCTATGTAAAACATGTTTTACACCTTAGAACAGCATTACTATGATTTTACAGATTCACAGAATCATGTAGGTTCATTAAGTCCTGATAGAGTCTCTTATCTCTTGACCTTTATTGCTCTTTCATTTCTGGCTACATGTGGTAAGTGCTATGCCCAGGTATATTTCACAAACACTATATACATAGATCTCATGAAAACACCGAAATCAAAGGTAGCTGTTTCCCTTTCCATGTGCAGGGTGTGCTGTTTTGAGGGACTGACAGAAGGCCCTAAGTCGATATAATAATATTCCTCCTAAACATCAACTTCCATGTTAAAATTAAGAAGCTGCCTGACTAACCTGCAATTTTTACATGCTCCTGCTCTTGCTGTTAGACTCATCAGACTAAAAATAGAAACTGCTCTTAAACGGAAGCCCGTATACTTTAAGCTTTAACAAAATAATGTCTGCCTCGGATTTTTTTTTTCTGAGAAAGTCAGAGCTGAGATGTTGGCTCTGGTAGAGCATAGCCTACTAGAGACTGTAATCCATATTCTAAAAGCCTTTGAGGGGTTAATCCCACAGATAAATTTGGGAGATGACAGTGGTGGGGTGAACTGTCATAGCTCTGACAGTCCACCTCAGGCATCAAGGTAATGAAAGAAAATTCTAACTTTTATATGTGAATCATAGAATCATTTAGGTTGGAAATGACCCTTGAAATCATTGAGTCCAACTGTTAACCCAGCACTGCCAAGTCCACCACTAAACCACGTTCCTAATGGCCACATCTAGACATCTTCTAAATACCTTCAGGGATGACTCAACCACTTCCCTGGGAAGACTGTTCTGATGCTTGACAAGCCTTTCAGGGAAGAACCTTTTTCCTAATATCTAATCTAAACCTTCCCTAGTGCCACTTGAAGCCATTTCCTCTTGTCCTATGGCTTGTTACTTGTGAGAAGAGACCAACCCTCACTTGCTACAACCTCCTTTCAGGTAGTTGCAGGGAGTGATGAGGTCTCCCTGGAGCCTCGTCTTTCCCTTGCTAAAGACAAACCAGTCCCTAGCTCCCTCAGCCTCTCCTCATAGCACTTGAGCTCCAGATGCTTCTCCAGCTTTGTTGCCTTTCTCTGGACTTGCTCCAGCACCCTGACGTCTTTTTTGCAGTGAAGGGCCCAAAATTGAACACAGGATTCAAGGTGCGGACACACCAGTGCAGAGCGCACAGCAGTCCTATTGGCCACACTATTTCTAATATAAGCCAGGATGCCATTGGCCTTCTTGGACACATGGGCACACTGCTAGGTCATGTTCCGGGGCTGTCAACTGGCATCCCCAGGTCCCTTTCTAACAGGCAGCTTTCCAGCCACTCGGCCCCCAGCCTGTAGCTCTGCATGGGGTTGTTGAGACCCAAATGCAGATCACGGCACTTGGCCTTGTTAAACCTCAGACAATTAGCCTTGGCCCATTGATCTAGCCTGTCCAGATCCCTCTGGGGAACCTTCCTACCCTCCAGCAGATAAACTCTTCCACCCAACTTGGTGTCATCTGCAAACATGCTGAGGGTTCTTTTGATCTCCTCATCAATAAATTGTTGATAAAGATTGCTGCTAAAGAAATTAAAAGGACTGGTTCCCAATACTGAGCCATGGGGAATACCACTCATGACTGACCACGAGCTGGATGTCACTCCACTCACCACCACTTTCTGGGCCTGGCCATCCAGCCAGTTTTCTACCCAGTGAAGAGTGGACCTGTCCATGCCATGATCAGTGAGTTTCTCCAGGAGAATGCTGTGGCAATTCAGCAGTATGAATTCAGCAGTCTGTAGTCTTAGGCAGCACACAGCACAACTCCTCACTTAAAGCTATTCTCCTTTGCTTTGAATCCCATGAGTATAGGGCCAGAATGGTTTCACCATCTGGCTGAACGCTGAGGGAAAAATAAAGACCGAAAACTCAGTCAGGCATCTTCCTCTGGGTTAAGAAAATTTGTTTGGATCTCTCTATTTCTAATGAGTGGAGTTACTAACAAAGTTGTCAGAGACTCTCCTGCTACATTAACTGCGAGTGATAAGTATTTAAAGTGCAACGCTATCAGACTTGCACATCTTGTCTGCCTCACTTAGCCATGCCAAACTGTTCCTATGAGACACTTAGAAGGATATGGTATCTGACAACAAATCCAGGCTGCTTCTAGATAAAGCTGAAATTCTTATGCTCTTGAAATATAATCTATCCACAAATGATTTTAATTATCTATATATCCATCTACCTTGTCTTTTCAAACCATGAAACTCAAATAGCTAATTTCTAAAGCCTAAACTGTTTGCACTACTTGACCAGGCACTGACCTACTGGCATTTACAGTATATTTCATCTCATAGGGAGCTTATAGCATCTGCAATAGTCTATCTTTCATTCAAAATTGATCACCTAACATGAACTTGCAAGATCTTCATGTAAGCAGCACTTTAAATATTTTATTAAGCTTTGGAGTACAAAAATCCAGTGAATCATGCTAATATTTTACAAGACAAGCCAGTTCTGTTTTTATTAAATAATTCAATTCAAATTTTAATGCAAATAATATTCTACTTTTACATTTATTCAATATATATTTGTCTGCTTCTTCAACAGATGTTGCTATTAAAAAGTTCAGCTAATCCTAACATTTTAGGCAGAAGCATTCAGTACCTAACAAACCTAAACTACATATTGGTAACAAAATACAAATTTATGTCACAAACGTGGACCCAAAGACAGTATGTAACAAAGCATTACTTCACAAGCAGGAGACATATCACTTAAGCTTCTGCCTTTACAAGAGAAAACAGAAATACAGCATCCAAAACCTCAAAGATAGCAGATCAGAAAACAGAAGCATACGAATTAAATAATTATGCTTTTAATTTAACTCAGTACTGTCTGAGCACCAAGTGCTGGTGTGCACTGGCTGACATGCAGAGGTGGAGGTGGGAAGACTCACATCAAATCAGATCATCTTTGTGCTGCCACTTCCTCTGTGGAAAATAAAACTGAAGCACTCTCTACTAAATTCAGTAAATAGGAAAACAGAAGGGGGGAAAAAAAGAGATAAAAACCATCCAGGAGTTCGGCAGAAAGATTAAGTTAACTGAAAACTGTGTCTTTAGAGAAATGGAGATAGATTGTCAAAATATTCAAGGACAGTAAGGCTCTGCCCATAAACCCAAATACTTTTGATATAAG